AAGATTACGACTCGCTGAAGGCTCAGATGATGGTTAGCATTTTTTAGCAATAAAGTATTTTTTAATTAAGGTATGTACATTGTTTTTTTAGACATAATGCTATTGCACACTTAATAGACTACAGTATAGTGTAAACATAACTTATATGCACTGGGAAACCAAAAAATTCATGTGACTCGCTTTATTGCGATATTCGCTTTATTGTGGTGGTCTGGAACCAAACCCGCAATATCTCCAAGGTATGCCTGTACCGCATTTCTTTACATACACACTCACATTTCCCCAGAATTAGGCAGCCAAAATTGGGGTAGGTGCCTTAAGTGGAAAAACTGATTTTCTGCCCTGAAGAGAAGCATGAAGCTATCAGATGACTAATACTTCTTTTTTTCTTCCCTCAGCAGCTGCACGGATGGAGGGGTAGAGTTGATCAGGGGTAGATTCAGGGTGGGTCCAGGGGTACAATTGCACCCTGCTTGAATTCTTGCCCCACACAAAGTTTAAAATCAGCTTCCTAGCAGCAGCAGTGGCATTTATATTTAGGCAGTACTGACGGAGTCACGTCACTTCATGACTTATTATAATCTACCAAATTCCTGCTCTTTGTTCTTCACTACTCAGGTGTTAACAACCCTCTCTCCTTTTTAATGGTCTTAATTCCACTATTCAAGCTACCCTTGCTTCGGCATTTTGCTGTCTGTTAACAATTCCTGGTCTCTCTCTCCTATTTCACAGTCCTGCCGACTGTTTTTAGCTCTTTTCAAAATCCTGGATACAGCTTTGGAGTCCAGTCTTCAGCATCAGCTACAGTTTCAGCTTTTCAGTTGAACAGCAAAGAGCTGCTAACAATTCACCCATGAAAAAGTTAAAACTGTCACTTTTGCCTGAGCAGGAGGGGGAGGATATGGCCATAACTCTGGAAAAGTCATTTTTTCTTCCTTCTGCTTTCCCAGAGTAATGTACTGCCTTATTTGGGGGCATGCGGTATATGAGAAAATACCAGGGAATGTGTACTATGCTCCTATATACTGACATTTTATAAGACTTGCTTGTATTAAGGGAGGAAATAACCTGGAATAGCTACCATAGAATAGCTATTCTGCTTTAGCTGCTGGTTAGAACATTTATTCATCACTGAAAACTGTTTGTGGTTTATTTGAATAAATAGCTATTACATTTAAATTTACACCCTAAACTATTTTCAGTAGATGCACTGTGTAGACAAGCCCTAAGATGATTGTAAGGTTCTGATCCTGTTGAACTTGAGTGGGCATTTTCTCATTGTCTTCACTGGAAATTGGATCTAAGTCTCATGTGCCAGTACATGTCTGAATCTGAAAAAAAGGCTTTCACAATGCTAGTATACAGTCTGTTTACCTTTGCTCTTTTATTTCTCAAATTTAAATGTTTTCCTTTGGTCTTTAAATAAGAAAACTTCCACTTTTAACTGTAATAGGGGAACAAAGGCAAGGAAGAAGTCTTGAGGGTGAATGAACACAGACTATTTTGTTGCTAGAAAATGTTAATGAAAACCTATATTTTGTAGGTCAAAGATGGAGCACAGCTAGTGCTTACCTTCACCCCGCCATATCACGCCCAAACTTGTCAGCCAAACCCAGAACCCTGGTAACGAAAATTTTGTTTCAAGG